AGGGAGGTGAGGAGATTCTTTCTCCCCCCTGAATTTTAGATCTGGCCTAGAAATGGACATTTCTGCTTCTCCCCAGAGGCACGGTGAGCCGAACCCCCTTCTGTTTGCTACAGGTGCTTTTCTGAGACATCACTTTTTCTCACATGGGCCCACCCACTCTTTCCTTCAAAATTCTTGCAATTCAGTAAGTAGAGCTCAGAAACTGGTGAGAAATGACCTATTGTACAATAAGAAACCTCTGCTGGCAGCTGGGGTGAAAGCTGGGGTACTTAGGAAATGACTTCTTGCTTCTTCCAATACTGAAAGGATCTGCTAAGCAGTAAAAGAACTTTGCATAAAGCAAAGGGCAGGGAAAGCCTGTGTTCAGCACTAAGGATGTTCCTGAAGATGTCCTCTCAAATTTATGTCACAGTTTACAGTGAATTCTAATCCCAGTATTCTCCACATTTCATAATAAATAGACTCTTGGCTATTTCAACAGGGCAACATGCCACCAGCTTCAAGGCCCCCAAGCGAATTTGTGGACAGAAGCTGACATGTTCCTGAGCCAGACAGAAAAGAGGTCAATATTGTCAGCTTGAGAATTCAATAATGCAGGGAGCTGCTACTTCATTCCAGAGCCCTGCCTACTCTTATCTCACCAGCTCCATCTCTGACCTATTTTCGCAGCTCCCTTACAACAGATTAAAAAATGATGCATTTCTGTTGCCTTTTTTTCTTTTTTGGTGGGCAACATTCTTTCTTTTTAATTCCTGGTTTCCTAATTATTTCTTCTAGCAAGTAGAGACTTTAAAGTTTTTACTCTCATGTTTCTACACAGAGAGTACATACAAATGCAATTTTGGACTCAGTTTCTATAATATATAGTGACCTGTACCTCGGAGGCCATGCTTTCAAGTTAATTTCTTATAACTCGTTAGCTTTATTTTTTTCTCAAAGTAACACCGAGTGTTAACTGGAAATATGCTTCCTAGAAAGTCTATCTGAAAATAGCTTTATGCTTTGGCTCTCTGGACATCTCTGTTCCACAATGGCTATAACTCAATTCAGATATCAAAGGAGTAAAGGCCATTGCCCAACACTGTGCAAAGAAAAGTGGAGGAAAAACTAAGGATAAAATCCTAAGGATGTGTATTAGTTAATGATGCTATTTAACAAAAGGCATTTTGTCTTAGAAAGCTCCAGTTCATCACAGATGACCGAGTTCAGAAACTTAGTGGTGTGTTTTTTTTTTTTAATTTGTTTCACTGGAGACGAATAATCCTGGACTCCAGCAGAAGTGCTCCATCAGGGAAAACCACAGATGTGCAGAGACAGGGCAGAGCTGAGAGGCCAAAGACGATGGCCCCATAGAGCATGTTCTCTGCATGAGGTCATACTCCACCGAGATGCCTGGGAGGGCCCGGCATGCAAGCTCCCTCCACTTTGTTACTACTCAGCTCAAGTTCATCATCTAAGGCCCTTTCTATCATTCCCAGAGCACATTCCCTTGCATTATGTTATTTCTTAGTTTTTCTAGTAAGTTTTGAAACGTACGTACACCCCCAAACGCAAAACAACGTCCCATTCTTACCTCCTCCCTTGCTTCCTTGAAGGACGAATTTAAAGGCCCTCCTCTCCTGGAAAGGGAAGGCTTGGTGGCATCCTCCTGCTGCCCGAAGAGCTCCTCGATGGTCTTCGTATCAATTTGGTAGTGATGCTGCTGCCTGGCTGCCAGGGTCCAGATGTTGGTTTTGCCACGTACTTGCTCCTCTGGAATGGTTTTCCAAAAAAAGCTTCTCATCCGCTTTTTCTTACCAACGTGGCTGTAGCCGTTCAAGTGAGAAGCTGGGGGCAGTCCTGGAGGGGGAGGAGGGACCGGAGGCCCCCCAGGGAGTGGCTGTGGGGGGGGAGGGGGAGGAGAGGAAGGAAACCCTTCCTCTGAATAGGGGCATGGTGGAGGTGGAGGGGGCGGAGGAGGAGGAGGGGGTGGTGTTTGCTCAATCATGAATCCAGCTGCTGTGGCGATAGTCCCATTTTCTTTATCACCGACCAAGGAGACACAATTCATAACATGCATAGTATTGTTGCCTTCCAAGGAGATAATTTCTTGACCTTGGGGAAGCAGACACAAACCTCAGACTTGTGTCATACTTTTTCACCCACTAGTCTGCTGCCAGAGAAAAAGGTACTGGTGTTGTGTGTCATCTTCCAAACCTACGAAGATAAAACAACTTTAAAATCGGTCCAGGAAAACATTCCAATGTGAGCTATTCCCGTCAGAGGCTCGTGTCAGCCCTCCTAGAGAAACTGGATATGAAAGTCAATGAGGGGCAACACATCCCAGAGAGTATGAAAAGGGACTAATACTCTTCTAAATGTGAACCGAATTTTACTACCTGGAAATGTTGCCAAAACCGCAGCAACATATCCAACTTGGAAACCTTCCGTTAATCAATAAAACACATATTTGCTGAGAACCCACTATAGGTTTAGCAAGTATTCTCACTTTATGAATAAACTACTTGTTCATTACCTGGCTCAGTGTCTTTGGATGATGGATACCCAATCCTTAGGGGAATTACACAAATGACTGAAGTGTTAGGCATTAGTGACCCCGCCTTTCTCCAGTAGGAGTATGTCCCCTACCAATCAGCTGGCACCGTCCACCTTGCACATAACAGGTAAAGATTTGGAGATGATAAAGGAATGGCCAAACTCATCCCACCGGAGTCAGAGCCATCACGTCCCTGCTCCACTTGGTGACATGGCTTCCCCGAACACAGAAAAAGGAACACTAGACACGAAGACGAAAGGTTCCAGCTCTAAATCAAGCTTTACTATTTACCATTTCAGACCAGTCACTTCGCCTCACTGGACTTCAGTTTCTCATTTGTAAAATTAGGAGGTTGGGATACATTACATGACCTCTACCATCGCTTCCGATGCTATCACTTTGGATTCTAGTTAAGCCACTCTCTGGAAACCACCAGAAGCTCTCACCTGTCTCTTCTACTTCTTCCGTGACACTATTAGCAAAGAGAAACACACAAGGAAATGCTGCCCACGTCACACCTGCCCCGTCGATCCCTTATCCAGTTACTGACTTATTTTAGTGGCTTATATTTTTACTGATCTTGAAATGTTTGTTTTTGCTGTTGGGTTGTTATGGACCTGATGTGAAAACAGGGGTCAAAACATCTGTGTTTCTTCAGATACAAGGACAGGCAAGTGGAGATGTGGAAGAAGGGAACCCGTGCAGGCTACGGAGCGAGCACCCGACACTGTGGGTACGTGAAAGGGAGCCTGTTTCCTCCAGGTCACAAAGGGCCAAATGGAAAGGCTTTTTTAGACTGGACTTCTGAGTGTAATTTTCCTTTTACAGCATCACTATCAAAGCTCACACTCAGACACACACATTGGTCAAATAATACTGGGTTACACAGGAGCAAACTGTCTCATATCACTAATTCAAATATTATGAAATGTTTTACATATATCAAAGGCAGGACTGCAGCCCTGCCCAGAGGTTTCTGCTCAAAGTGTCCATGAGGCAGCCAATCAATGTTTCCGTCTCACATTGATGTTTCTTTCTCTCCCTCTCTAAAAATAAATTTTTAAAAACCTTAAAAAAAAAAGGCAAGATTGCCTTGGGAATAAGAATGGAGATTCCAGAAATGGACTGCTTTTCCTCAGATCCTTAGATGTGCAACCTGAGGTGAGGCAGGTCCTTTATCCAATGTTTCAACAGCCTCTCCATAACATAAGGATATACCATTTCACTGGCTTGTATAAGACTATATGAACAAATACATGTACAGTCCCTACCAAGATGCCTGCATATAATTAGCTATTACTAAAAACCACTGGTGTCATATGTACATGTGATTTCTCTTTATTTTCCCAGGCTTTACAGGTGCTTTAAAATAAGTATTGGGTTTATAGATAAAATGCTCAGGCTGCTAGAAACCTTTAAAATTTCCATTCTCTGCTTTCTTAGTTGCTAGGTTTCTAGCAACTAAAAAGAGATTTGTCCCTTTTTAATACTCAGTGATTTGTATATTAAGTTATCTATATCAAAAATGGATGTTTTTATGAAATGTTTGAATATTTAAGTTCTGAAAATTACATATGGATAGAAAATAGCATTTCCAGTTATTAACTGGATAACTTTTTTTTTTTACCAGTTTTAAGTTACATCAGTGACATTAAGTACATTTACAATGTTGTGTATCCATCACCACTGGATACTACTTTAGAAAGTAAAACTGAAAATAGTTATCCAAGCCAACTTGTAGCTCACTTGAGATACAACTGGCTTTTAAAAGGAGTTTTCATAATTATCATTAGGGGCATAACTAGGCTGTTTTCATAGCTGGCACCCCTAAAGAAAATGACTCATTGTCAATTACAGTTTATAGTTATATTTGAAGTCTTTTTTCAAGACTGCACAGGTAATCTTGGCAGTTTATCCTTACATGTTTTAAAATACTTCTGTACATGAAACATCTCATGTATAGAAGAGTTCTAATCCTCCAATTCACTAATTATGTAGAGAAGAGTTGTTAATCCTTCCATTCCAGAGAGGCTGACATGTTTATAGATTATCCCTGCTAACAATGGTGATAACCCAAAAAAGCCTCCATCCTAGAAAGCAATAACTCATTCAGTGCTGAGTAAATATATGCACAGATGTGCCATTAAACCTTACGAAGCAAATGGAAAGATACTAATAGTGAGAAAGACTATATACTCAGAAGTTGTGCAACAGCACTATCTTTCAATACCAAAGCTCCAAAGGATGCAAGTCATTTTGAGTATCACACGTTACACAGGGGAAGTACCAAGAAAGCTTGTCAGAGTAATAAGTAACGCACGTTAGCTATGCACTGGCATGATTCTAACCACTGCCCCATCTTGAGAAAGAATGTTATTGGAAAAATTTAAAGGAACAAAAGAAAATTTACAACATTGTTCCTAGTATGTTGTCTGGCTAATTTTTTCCCAGGGCAACATACAAGAATCTTGGGCCCCCAACAGCTTCCGGCCCTTCCCGGGCGAGGGGAATACATTGTCCAGCAATGATTAGCCAAGATGCTAATGCTTTTACCACTGGCGTCAGTAGGGATTCAATAGGGCTTCCTCCCTGGCGAGGGCTTCTCATGTCAGGCAGAGGTAGGGAAAAGAGAGTGCAGACAGACATTCTAACTCTTTCCACAGTCTCGGGAGACATTAAAACAAGAGGACACACAAAGAACGTTTAATTTACTATTGGCACTACCTTTGGTAAAGACGCAAACATACTCTCCAAGTATACAAGGAGAACACAGGTGACCTAAAGACACTGGCTGCTTCTCACAGCTGTCAATTGCCAGTAGGAACAACAGAAATAGCCTTGGCTTTGTCTGGAAAATGTCAAGAATCCATCAATCTCCCCTGGGCAGACAAAGACAGGTTTGTATTAAACATCTCATCTACAGGTGGGGGACCTCAGCAGCAAAGAGGGTGGCTGCTCAGACTGACAAATGTCCCCTGAGTAAAATGAAGAGCTGTGGTGGTAAGGCTCTGAAGATGACAACTTCTCTCTAAGTCCCCTGAGTGCTAATCATGAGCCAGCACAGATGTGTCTGAGTGATAGATGCTCCTGGGGAGACTGTAGCTCTGCTGAGCATCTTTTAGCATGTGAACTTTTAATAAGGGGACACTGCAACCATGTTCTTAGCCTTTAGCTGATCAGCAAGCAAAAAGTCTTAGAATGAGAATGTTCATGGGATCTCCAAAGAAGCCCTCTGGCCCCTTCCTAAACTCTCCTGCCCTAAACAGCCACATTACTTGCTCTTGGTGTCCAAAGCACAGCCAGAGAGCTCTATTCTCTTGAAGGGGGTGAGTGGGAGTGAAGAAAAGAGAGTATGTATGCTTTATTTCTGTATATTTAGGAGGAAAACATGCTCCCGAAAGTCAGTTCAGAGCTTTCCTGAAAGAGGGTTTGGTGGGGCTTGTCGCTCAGTTGGTCACTCACCCCCCTAGGTCAACAATCATCAAAAGTAAACGTCCAGGAAAATCCACACCAGAAAAACCTTTCCCCTTGATTCCCGACATGTGTCACAGATGAGGTGGGAGCAGGAAGGGCTGGCCCATACCCTTCTGACGACAAACAGGGGCAGAGCAAGCTGAGTTTGGAGAGAAGAGGCAGAGGAACTCACGGCCCTGTTTTATCTGGGGGAAAAGAAAGGCTGGGGAGAGTACAGGCAGTTCTAAAATAGGGAATTTTTGCTCTCCACGAACTCATTGGAAAAAGGCTCCTCCCCCACCGCCTATCTTTCAATACCTTTATGAAACACAGAATGTCAACCGCACAGTCTAACCAGAGCTGGCAACGGAGGCTGTCTCCAGCCAGCGCGTTTCCTCCGCAGCACAACGTAAACATTTCACAGATGCCGGGAGCGCACCACCCCGAGAGCGGAGAAAGGACGCCGGCGTTTGAAGGAGCATTTTCAGTTTCTCTGCGAGCGCGCTGAAGGATGCCCTAGAGGATGGAAGGACGCGCAGGCTCCCCTTCCAGGCAGGCAGCCGNCAATGCCCCCAAACCGAGGAAAAAGCGAGCGCGCTGAAGGATGCCCTAGAGGATGGAAGGACGCGCAGGCTCCCCTTCCAGGCAGGCAGCCGCGGGTCCGCAGAGGGGTCACGGGCCGCCCGCCAGTTTCTGCGCCAACAGCTGTTTGAAACTGACTAGGTCCTAGAGAAATTCGACCCTGGGGACACCGGGGGCACCATTTCCTTCAACAAGTCTGGATACATAGCAGTTTCCGAAGTCTCCGCTTTGGCGAGCGGCGCGCCCCGTCCCGGAGCCCCCA